TTCGACCTTGCTCAACCGCAAATAAGTAACCCTTCACAATGACCTGCGGTTGGTTCACCTTCACTGCCAGCTGCTAAACCTCGTCCTACACGGAATCAGATATGGAAAGTTCAGGCTGGGCGTATGTACCACTGCGTCAGACATCGGGTCGGAAGTCTGTGAATGAGCAAATCGCGCGATTTTGCTTTCTTTCGAGACCAGAAAATGAGTTCGGTTCTGGCATGAGAAGTAAACATCAACATGGCTGCTACTCAAAGCGTAAAGTCTCGTTTACATTCTTTGTTGAACTGGTCAAAATGAGCTGTACATGGCCTCGAGCAGCAGAGCTGGTTGAGGCTGAGGTAATGAGAAGTGATGCAATCGGCACAAGGCGTGGAAGCGGTAGTGTGGGATCTGGCACATGGCGGTAGGAGGCGATGAGGCAAGTGATGTGGAATGGTATCACACGAAGTGTGACACAAAGTGTAAAATTGTCGAGAATGACTGTCTGCAAGTTACAAGCAAACTGTCGAGCAGTGTGTCATCCTGTGGGTAGCTTAGTTAGACGTGGACATGCAGCAAAGTGGTATTGTGTGAGGAAGTGGGGTATGCAGTAGTGGATGATTGCGTAAGTGTGTGTATGTGTGTGTGTATGCTGTGCGGATAGGAGTCTGAAAGTGGCAGAGAACGGGAAAAGGTGAGAGGCGTCGGGTATTGTGGAGTGGTGTGAAGCAAAGTGAAATGATGACTGAATAAATTTTTCTTTTGATAGACAACATGGGGCAGCAAAATGTGGTGGGAAAGGGGAAAAAAGGACATATTTCCACTGCTGGGGGGTTGAAATTGGCTCGAGCCTAAGCGAGAACCGCTTTCTCGTCGCGCCAAACGCTGCAACGGTCCGCGTAATAAGTCAAGAAGAGGCCGAACAAAGCAGTGCTAAACAGAACGATCGGCCAGAAGATTGTGTGAAAAAGGGTGCTGGAACCATAGAATTTGTGCATTAACGCTTCATCTTCGTGTACAGCTGAGATGAAACAGCGAAACTTCTGCATACGTTGAATGCGTTGGTCAAATTGGTTCACCCAGTTCT